CCCCCCCGAGTCCGGCTCCCCCGCCACCGCCGAGCCGCTTTTTTGGGGGCATTTCCAGCTCTTTTGGGGCTTTTTTTGGTTTTTTTTGTCTCTCTGCTCGGGACCCTCCGCGCCTTCTCCCAGCGCTTTTTCTCTGCCCCGATTCCCTCCCCCGGCCCGGCTTTGCAGCTTTAAACCACCTTTGGCACAAGCCCCACGTCCTCCTCAAAGCACATTATCGGCCTCTTCCTCCCATTATTTTGCTCTTTGGGGGACAAATAAAGGTATTTTTTTGGAGGGGAGGGGGGGTTTTATGCTCTTTCTTTGCGAGGGGGGAGAGGGGTTGGGGGTGGGGGGGAGCTGGTTGAAAATTCAACACTTACTATCCAATTTTTTTTCTCGCCGACAGCGCTTCAAGGTTTGGATTTTGGCATTTGGTGGTGTTAGAGCCAAAAAATTCGTTTGTTTTTGGTCATGGCTTTAAAAAAACGCAGCAACTTTTTTTTTGCAGCTTGACAAGGTGGGGTTATTATTATTATTATTTTTTTAAAGGGTTTTTTTTCTCTCTGGGGTATTTTTGTTGTTGTTGTTGGGGTTTTTTTTAAAGCCCTAAAGAGGTGAATCGAGCTAAATTTTTGTCGAGCTAGAACGAGGAAAAAAAAATAAAAAAAAAAGTTGCTTGGGTTTTTTAAAAAAAAAAAGGAGGGTTTTGCCTTTGTTTTTTTTTGGGGGGAAGGGGGAAGAAGAGGGAAATATGTTTTAAAGTGGCAGTTTCCTTCGGGTTTGGAACGGCTTCCAAGGACGGTCCAAAGGACGAGGCTGCGGCGGCTCTTCACGGCAAGGGGGGAGGAAAGCTTTTTTTTCTTCCCCTCTTTTTGTATATATTTTTTGTTGTTTTGTTCGCTTTTGTATTGTTTTGTATTGTTTGTATGTTTTTCTCTCGTGGTAAAGGCGACGGCGTCTCTCAAGACCAACCAAACCTGGAGCGGGGAAAGGAAAAATAAAAAGGGGGGGGGGAAGGGGGAAGGTGGGGTGGGGCACAACAAATAAAAAAAGAAAAAAAATTGAAAAAAAAGAAATTAGAAGCAAAGAAGAAAAGACACGAAACGATTAGAAATTTGTTATCCCCGGGGGAGAATTTAGAGCTTTAAAGCGGGGGGGGAAAGGAAAAAAACCCGAAGAAACGCCCTTGGCGGGGGAGGGCTGAGCTCTGAGGGGCCATGAGGGCTCAGGGCGGCGGCGGCCCCGGAGGGGCTGCGGGGCCGCGTTTTTCGCCAGATAAACGAGCCGTTCACCCTCCAAAGGGTCGCAGCCGGTTTAAAGAGCCGCCCAACCCTCAAAAAAGGCGGGTGGGACCCCCCTGGACGCCCCACCCGCGCCCCCCGCCAGGCCCAGCGCGGCTCGTTACTCACCTCCACCAGCCCTCAGAATGGCGGCGGCACCGCCGGGCGCGGCTCTTTATACCGGGCCACGCCCCCATTGGAACCACGCCCCCGGCCGCGCGCCGGCCGCGCCCACCCGCCCGTTGAGCCGCCCAACGGCGCCTGCGCGGGGCCCGCAGCGCGCACGCGCGGCCGCCGCCCGCCATTGTCCGCGGGGGCCCGTGTGTGGCGCAGTTTTTATTCGGGGGCGCTCTGCGCACGCGCGGCCGCCGCGGGCGGGAGCCCCGCCCGGCAAAATGGCGCCCGGGGCGTGAGGGGAGGAGTGGGCGGGGCCTGAGCGTGAGGCGGGAAGATGGCGCTGGGCCGCGCGGCCGCGGCGCTGAGGGCGGCGGCGGCGGCGGCGGCGGCGCTGAGACCGGCGGGGACCCCGCTGTGGGCGCGGGTGAGGCGGCGGGGGGAAAGGGGCACCGGAAAGGCGGGGGAGTGGGGGGGGCACCGGGAATTTGGGGGGGTCGGGGGGGGATTGGGGCAACGGCGCACGTGGGCTGGGGGCGGGGTTAGTGACGTCACTGGGCGTTGGGGGCGCCAGGAGCGCTTGGGAAGGGGCGGGGCTTAGCGAGGCATTGCGTCATCGCGAGGCGGGCGATGACGTCATAATTTATGAGGTTTGGTGGGGTTTTGGAGGAAAAGCGGCGTGTGATGTCACCGAGGGAGGGGTTCACCCCCGAGTGGGGTTTGGGGGGCAGGGGGTGGGGCAGCCCTGTGGGGTTATGACGTCATTACCCACGTGACATCATCACCATGAGTGTTATGATGTCATAAGCTCATTGATATCACTGCTGTCGGGGTTTTATGTCATCACTGCGAGTGTTACAGTGTTATAATGATGATCTGATGGTGTTAATATCATAATTCAATAATATGAGATATTAATTTCTACAGAATTCACTCTGTGGGGGTTATGACATCATAGCACCTGTGACATCACCACTGTTCGGGTTGTGACGTCACAAGCCACATGACACCATTGCTATGAAGGATATGATGTCACAGCCCCTGTGACATCATCACTCCTGGGTTGGTGATGTCATAGCCCCATGACGTCACTGCTCCCGGGGGTTATGACGTCATAACCCCCCTCTCCCAGGACCACCCCCGGCTCTGCAGCTCCCAAGAAGCCCCAAAATCCTCCGAGGAGCCCAAAGGCCCCAAAGAACCCCCGTCCCGGTACCTGGAGCGGCCCTGGGAGTACCTGGAGAGCGAAGGTACCTGGGGCGGTGGATTTTGGGGGGTTTGGGGATCTCAGGGGGTCCCCAACCCCCCCAAACTGTCCCCCCCATCCCAGAGTACCGCGTGACCTACGGGGACAGGCCCGTCTGGTTCGGCTACAAGCGCAACCACAAGGGAGCCATCCCCCCCCAGCGCACACGCAAGGCCTGCCTGGTCAGACTGGGGGCACTGGGAGGGACTGGGGGCACTGCAGGGGGAGTGGGGGGCAGTGGGAGAGGATTGGGAGGGTCTGGGGTGGGAACTGAGGGGGCACTGTAAGGGGATTGGGAGGGGTCTGGGGGGCACTGGGAGGGACTGGGGGGTACTGGGATGGACTGGAGTTCATGGGGAGGGACTGGAGGGCACTGGGATGGACTGGAGG